AGCAGACGGATGTCGAATGTATTGCGTTGAATGAAATACTCGGAAGGCCAAACCAGCCAGAAAATCTCGGGATGACAAAAGCCCAGCAACCGGACGCAGAGTGAACCCAGTGCAACCTGAAAATTAAGCACCGAAAAATGGGTACTCTCAGAAATTCCATCAAAAAACCAGTGCTTATTCCCAATTACACCCAGCACATCAAAATTAGTTGCTGAAATGCCCCGAAAAATTCACCTGACTTGAAAAAAATGGATAAAAAAAATCTAACCAGACAGAATCTCACCGAGCCAAATGTAGCCAGGCATTTAGGAAAGCAAGTCAAAACACAGGCTTAGAATTAAGGAAATGCAAAAAAAATCAGGGTACATCTAAAATCACGGGTTATTTCCATTGGACGCTGAATATATATCATTTAGGAAAAAGGCTGTACTTCGACGATGGTAGGTTATTCGAATATGGCGTGACCTGAATCATTGACCTCTGGAAGGACGAAGTATAACCGAATGAAATTAAATTGACCTAATAAGATTGAATATAACTTGAGCTTAAATGACCTGCCACTAATTAACCACTACGCATACAGCGTGGCTTTCGAAAAATATAATAAAATGCAATTCACACCGATAAGCAGTCCTAATAAATAAATCAGAAGATCGGATTTGTCAGTGGTTAAAGAGAAAGGTTATAAGAAAAAACACTTATTTTTCAACGATGGTACATTGAATGAATATAAATAAGATTTTTCGAGAGAAGACGAAACTGCAAAGTGATAATAGTACATTATAACTTACTTTTCAGGAAATCCGAAACTCCCTGAAGTTGTGGGATATTATCCTCCCTGTAGCCACAATTCTCGATCAAGAGCGGGAAAACATAATTGAATTCCTTGCAAGCGTGAGTCTTGTACAAATTCGTCAAGGAGTTGAAAACCACTCCCCAGGTCTTGATTTCTTCTTCGGTGTAATCGATAGTTGGGATTTTTTCGCCACTGCAAATCGTATCGCAAAAAATTAAGGTTTGTGCGTAAGCTTGAAGTCGGGGAACATCTCACTGTTTGTAGTTGAATGCGATGTCTGCAAAAAATTTCCTGCGTTGCCTATAAATCGGATCCGTGAATCCCGGGTGGTCCGATTCCAATTCTGCTCCGTATGACAAGATTCGGTTGGAGAATCTGTCCAAATCCATGATTTTTTCGGGAAACCATGGAACTGCATCTGAAAAAATTTAAGAACGTCTTCGTTTTATTTCAAATAAAAATAATAATTGGCGAAGATCCGACAATTGTTTATCATCCCAACTGAAGTTCCTAGGTTTGGCTGATTTTATCTCCACGTTGAAACCATGTATCTTACATAATAAAGTTGCTTATAAACTTTATTAGTTGCTTATTATAACTTTAATAAAGATTACCGGTGGTCCTTCACCAGTTAACCAACTTTAATCAAAATTTTTTTCAAGTTCTTTACATAATTTGTAACAGTAACAAGTAATAAAATCCCCCCGCTCATGTGCCAGTTGTGGCCCACTGGGCCACAACTGACACATTGAGCACAAGTACAAGATTACCAGTGGTCCTTCACCACTTAACCAACTTTAATCAAATTTTTTTTCAAGTTCTTTGCATAATTTGTAACATGATAAACAGTTGCATATGGGCACCCCCTCTTCCACATATTAATTTCTGTAGTACATCCAACTTTTCAAAACTAAAATGTGTCCAATGCCCAGGTGTGGCTGGGCACCCCCAGCTTGTCTAGAATAAAGTGGAAGGTCGCATAAATGCTCAATTTTTCTTCATTCCATTTGTTCATCGTCATCATTGTCGCCATGACCATTCATCTTTCAGCAGCTATACTTCTTGAAAAATCACTTCCTCATCGTTTGCCAAGATAAAATAAAATTAATTTAGATTAAAACGAGAGTCCTCGAACAGTTTTGTAGTAATGTGATGCCTGGGTGTAAATAAGGTCAAGAGTCGAAGAAAGGGAGACTTGAGGTCAACCAGGTGCTTGTGAAAGGATTGAATTTCTTCGAGGCTAAAACTCTTCATCGTTTTTCAGCTGAAATCAAGTAATTAACAAAAGAGAGAGAAAACATTCGACAGGTCATTTATCGAAAAAAAAGTAATTAGACCGAAATGAATTTACGGACGTTATCCGAAAATTTCGAGTGATTTGAATACTTTTGGGAATTTATTTCGTTGTATGTCGTTGACTGATTCAACGTGTTTATTTCTTCTAAACTATTTGAGCAGCTGGGTTATTACAATAAAATTAAATAAAGCTTAAAGCATAAAGCTGGACAAGTTTACTTTTCAAGTTTTTCCGCGTTGAAGAGGAAAATAGCATAGTATCAGATTTTTCCAAAAGCCGGAATTTTTCAGACTTGATGCAGTTAATGAACGACATAAAATATGTTCCAGTGAATCACTGAAAATTTCCAAAAAATTCAGCTATAAATTTAACAGAATGACTGCATTTATTTTTTATTAATCGATGAATCATGTTTCGGTAAAATTTTGCAAAACGTTATTGTCGTGAAAAGCTATATACGAGACGTGATCCTATTAAATATCAAGTGGTCTGACATCAGTTTTGACATTTATTTCGTATTTATTTCGTATCGTATGGTAGACCAATTTAAATTTCGTATTTATCCTGAACTATTCCAACTTTCGAATTCAATTTAAAAGTGACACAGATCTGAACAAGTTTATTTTTCACGTTTTTCCGTATTCAAAAGAAAAAGGTATTTTGGAAATTTCGGGATTTGTGAGACTTTCCGCAGATAATTAATGAAATAAAGTAAAGTATGTATTCGAACGAATCACTAAATATTTCGAAAAGCATGGTTAAACAAAATATCTTGAAGAATTTGAGGTACTGTGTTTCTCTTTTGATAATCTACGAATCATTTTTCGATGAATTTTTCGCGAAACATTTAAAAAATGAAAATAAATCTGATCGTATTTATTTTTTTCAGCTTTTTCCGCGTCGAAGAGAAAATTGAACTATACTGTATTCGCATTTTCCAAAATCTGGAATTTGTGAGACTTCATAATTAATGTTCGCATAAAATAAGTTCGAAAAAAATCGGTAAAAATATTGAATAAATATATTGAGTAAAAATATTGAATTTGAGTGAGGTACCTGGATTTCTTCTTTTTTTTAAATAATCGGTGGATCATGTTTCGATGAGTTTCTCCGCAAACCATTAAAAATACTACGAACATTTTAATATATATATTTTTTTATGGAAACAGCGACCCAATCATGATGAAGAAATACTTGGTGGGGAGGGGCTGCGGGTTCAGAATAAAGTAACTTGAGCAATTGTGTATATAGGCAATTTTTATGTTGAGATCACGTTACTTCTTTGGGGTGTTTTTTCTTCTTCTTCTCTTTTTTGGAAGTAAGAATAATTAGATGGGGAACCGGAACAGAGCCCGGGCCGGAATTTCCCCTCGGGGGAAGAGGCCAGCCCGGAAACGGTTACCCAACCTTATTGTGCGTTTTCTTACATCCAAGGTGATTCAGATTTTCTTTTTTTTAATTTTATTTTCTGGCTCCTGTGTGACGGATTATTATGCAACACCTGTCACGAATATATGGGTGTCATGTATATACTGTATTTATTTTTGGAGTTTACATCCAAGGTGATTCAGATTTTCTTTTTTTTTAATTTTATTTTCTGGCTCCTGTGTGACGGATTATTATGCAACACCTGTCACGAATATATGGGTGTCATGTATATACTGTATTTATTTTTGGAGGGGATTTCGTGTCGCGGAAAAAAAATTTGAGACGCTTTTATTTAAATGCAACTCCAGACAATTTTATTGTTTCGAATTTTTCATGCCGAAATTTCCTTGGCACCTTTTTATTTCAATTACGAATTTCCGGTAGTTTTGAAAACTTCCGTTCAATATTCGTATTTTATTTGTGCAAATCCTTTGAAATTTTCATTTTTCCAAAATTTCGTGCAAGAAAGTGTCAAAACTTCATAGACACTTTTTTCTATCAACCACAAATTTTTCAAAACTGTACTTCGTTCTTAGTGATGGGAATGCTTTATTTTATTTTATTGGTGTACCGATTTTAACCTGTGTGAAATTCATTGAATACTTGAATTCTTCGAATCGAGAAATGACATTAAAATTTGAGTGAGTTTGAACAGTTTTGTTTGATCAAGTGTCTCCAGTTTTCGAAGTTTTATTGATATAGATTTTATGGACTGATTTTTTTATATATAGCGACGGATTTTCAGTACTTCGTTACCGGTTTTTAATTCAATACTTTATTCTGTATTGGGTACAGGGGATTCCAATCTTTGTGATACCGCGTAAGCAGATTAAAATTTCAAGTTCAGAGATGAAATAGAATTTGAAAAAATTCTAGGAAAATCTATTCGATTTTTTTTTTCGAAATTTCTGTGTGAGGCGTCCAAACTTGACTCTTTGAACGGTCGTTCCTGCGAATTATTATTTTTTTTCTGAAATTTTCCAGATTTTGTTCATGAAATCAACTAAAAATTCTTTGAATATAGTAATTTTCAAAAATCAAGTCCCCTACACTCATTTTTAAAAAAATATTCTCGACACAGCGCTGACCAAAAGAATCGACCGATTTTGAAAATATGATTCGTCGTGATATTTTCTAATATTATATGAGGAGATTTTATAGTTCTTTCGAGAATTTTGAAAAATTATTTCACCATACTTGCTGTTTTTTGTCATGATGTCCACGATAAAAAGGACGACGAAGGGTGTGTCAGTTTGCAAATTTTGCATCCCATTTTTCCCTTGCAACCTTAATTGCGGAAAATTAGCAAATGTTTCTGAAATATCCTTTGCTTTTATCAAATGTTATTCATTCAAATTAACAAAGAAATAAGAAGAATTCACAAGATTAGTGAAGGATTTTTTTATTGTCCGTCATTAAACTCATGAATAAAACATTGTATTGTAGTCATTTTAACATTTTAATTAATGCATCAATTTTAATTTATTTTGTTTGGAAAAATTGAAAAGATTCCCATTGCTTTCAGCGAAGAAAGAAAGGTTATAAGGAAATATTGCGGTTTGAACAACTTCGTCTTATATAAGTAAGTAAAAAACCATTCATTTCAAGTAATGTGCAGTACTGTCCTGTGCTATGTGTCAAAATTGCCTCTTCTGAAAAGTGAGGCTCTGGTTTTAATACTTCAAGGTTCCTTTGCACATTGCGAACATGCTTTGAAAAGTTTATAATTCCAACTGCAAATAAAAAATATTCCTTACGGTACACTCGAGAAATGAAGTCTAACGGTTCCGGGCGATTAACGACATCTTCGTTACTTTTTCATTCTGGACCCGTATTTTTTTCTTTAGAGCGCTAGATGTCGCTCAACGGCTGAAAGTACGTCAAAGCAATGGTAACCAACTCTCCTGCTTCTGTATGCTTGAAATGTTGGCTTAAAATTCAAATTTATAGCTCCAGCATTGAACTCAGTCTGCGGAATGATAGAAAATTCCCTTTTTGGATGATGAAATGACATTACTGAATCTTTTACTGAAGGGCATCATGTTTTATGAATTAAATGAGTTTTTCCTCAATAACATACCTTCGATCATGATGGGTATCGTATGAACCAATCCGAAGTTGTATGGAAGATTTCAAGAGGCTCGAGGCAAAATTTGTTGACCACGGATTCACTTGAAATTCGAGCGCCAAGAACTACATAAATAATCCTCTTTTTTTTTAATCTGTTGAACCGAATCCGTGAAGATTCAGCAGCATTTTGAAATGAATCACAATATAAGCACTATTATACAAGGGTTCTAACAAAAGTTCTCGGAATGAAAATGAAAATGGCGTCTAATCAAGCTGAAAAAAAATTATGCTTTAGGGCAAACATATTCTTTGGCACAAAAAAAATTATCCCTGTTTGACAATATTTTTTAATTTTTTGCAAAATTCACCCTGGCAGAGTTTTGCTATCCACTCAACAGATGAGGCATCCTTCTTGCAGTTTTTTTTTTGTTGCCCAGCTTTCCCCTCAGAATTCTTGAAATCAATGTGGCAGTGATTCCAAGGGTTGCCTCCAGGTCTTCCAAGGCAATTCCGCCATTTTCATTGACAGCCGCCTTCACAGCCGCCACATTGGTTCACAGCCACCACATTGGCCCCAAATCCCCTTCCCACCCAACCCAAATCCACTCAATGACATTTAATCACTTCAGAGCAGGAAAGCACAAATGGGT